CTCCAGCTGAATGTGCTGCACACAGGCCGCCTCATGATTCAGTTGGCACGATATTCGAGATATCGAAGTCTCTTTTCATAAAGGAAACTACTCACAAGGTTGCTGAAAACTCTTCGACAGCCCACGATCGGTTTCGCCCTTCTTGGGGCTCATCAGGTAGGCGCAGTCCCCGAGTTTCCGTCAACCTTATGTTCTACTTGAACCCAAATTGCACTGTTTTCGAAAATACACTCATTTGCAAATCAATTTGGTTTTCACGGGAAACTCAATTGAATCTCTCGTCCATGATATTCTGCAGCTGAATGTGCTGCACACGAGAGGTTCATTTGAGTCTCTCGTGAGAACCAAATTGATTTGCAAATGAGTGTATTTCTCGAAAACGTCTATGTTCTTATCTTGTGCATGCTATTAACCAAAAATCCAGCAAGACACAACGATTCTCCCTTACCTTGGATTTCTCCTAGTCAATGAACCTGAGCTGTGCTGAAAAGCCGAGAGGCATTGTACAGTTATTCCGTTCTTATTAGGAATCATTAGCAGTGTGCATCTCACCGAGCTTTAGCAGGAATTTTCGGATCCATGATCCACCTTTTGGAAACACGGACATTTGAGAGTTGGGCCAATCCACTATAGTGAGTTCAAATCAAAACTGAGTTACATGGCTGATAGCTTCCGTGCTTGCCGCGTCGGTTAGACAACTGTGTCCTAATCGGCAGCAAAGGCATGCTTTGGGACAACATAGTCTTTTAGTGCCACGCGCAGGATGTAACGACGATAGCGCTGGGCAAAGGTTGCGCCTATGTACGCCTACTGGCTGAAGTTTGGGCTGAGCATTCAACGTGGTTTAACTTTTGCAGCACTGGCATTCAAAACGTGGATAACATGACGAATTGATTCTACCTAAAACAGCCACAGAAAGTCAATGGTGCGCTTCACGTATGACCGAATAGTGAGTTAGACAACCCTAGATGTGTTGGTAAAACGGCTGCGCTGGCCGCTTGGGTGTGTCCGAGTTTGCACGCGTGCGTGTCTGTCAGCCCATCAGCGAACTGTTCTGTGACTCTATTGGCTGATTGGGTGTGTCCGGTAGTTGCACTCGTGTGTATATCCGACAACAAATACATCGTGGGCCATCGGAGAATATTCAGCTACCTTATGAGTAGTGTGCAACGTACTTACACCAGAGGACCGTTTGTGGGTTGGCTGGACCTGCGACTCAGTTGTTTGCTTACCCGTTACAAGGCGCACCAGTTTGGTCGCATGCACATGACACATCCGGGCCCTTACACACGTGTATCTGAGTTGCTTTGGGAAGAGGTGGCCCAAGTGATAGAGCTCGAATTTACTGACCGGAAGGTCCGTGGTTCGAACCCGACCTCTGCCTCTCGACTTCCCTTGTCTAGGCTTGGGCA